TTACCATCTAGGTGACACTGAAATTAGAGCCCCACCTACTCACTCATACAAGCTGGGTTAGATACAAATGTCACACTGTTGCAAACTGGGAGTTACTCCACTGACAGTCAGAGCTATTTGAGGTTTAAACCGACACAAGATCAGAAAGTTGCCTCGTTGCATCCATAGCATGAAACAATTTCTACATGCATATGTATAGGAATGTGCAGCTGGTCTGTGGGTCTGAATGACTTCACTTCCTTGTAAAGTCTGGAACATTTTTAAGTCTATGTCTATTCTGAGCCACAACTATAATTGCCCCAGAGCAAACTCCTCACATAGATATGATTTACACTGCTGAAGAGCAACTGATACTGCTGCTGCAGCTTATCTATTCCATTTCTATACTGGGTTAAACTACATGCCTCAGTGTAAATAATGTCTAACCTAGTGGCTTGTGCAGAAACTGTCACAATGGTGTCTGAAATCTCATTAAAGACATGGCCGATATACCACTATAGCTGAACTATAGATATTTTAGTATCTCTCTCGTTGTTAGACAAAAAAGCCGTGCTAAAAATGACACATTTAAGGTTGGCATTTAACAGTATTAATAAATAATTCTGAAAATATTGACACTGAATATTAAAAGCATTAATCAGTTGCATGACACTAACGAGGTAGAAATATCTGTTAGAATCACAAACAATAGCCATATTAAAGCGGGGGTTGGGGTGGTTATAAACAGTCTGTATTATCAAACATTTCATGTTGGAAATGGGAAATCAAGCCCAGAAATATATCAAAACAGCACCATAGCCTCAACTTTTACAAACAAACAAAGCATAGTACAGGGTTGTAAAATGTAAAAGCTTACAGAGTTGAAACTCACAATATTTACTCCACAAATCAAACAGCCTGCTGTGTAGTAGTAAAAGATGCCACCAACAAGCATGTTTTGTAGTGAGTATAATGTGAAGATAATAAGAAATGGAAGTGCTAATACTCAAAATCAAAATACAGAATGCAGCATATACATAGAGTAGAGATCACTAGTTTTTCCTCCAGCAAGTTTTCCAGCCAATTTTGTGAATTAGTATAACGTGTAAGTGGTCATAACAAATGAAAGCTTAGCAGTAATAAGCTCTACTCACAAGTAATGCTGTCAAATAAAAAATGTCAGCACGGTATAAAACAAAGTGCTGCTCTCAACTACAGCTAGCACACACAAACTATTTTTCACTACCGTTCACACTTGGATATATCTTGGACCTTTTGGGGAAGCAGTTTTAGGCGGCCAATGTTTTGTGTACCCCAAAGAAGACACAGAACATACTGTGTGTGCACACTGGTTGACATGTAAGTGCCTGAGCTGAATATGCAATTAAAGGTGTTGGATATGTAAATACCAGAATAGGAGTTATTTGGGAACAAAATATGAAGACTGCATTTGAAAATCTGATTCTTGAACTGCAGTTATAACTTGAAAAAATGTCTCTGTAAAAATGATACAATGTTCGCTTGTTAAACCATTAGCATTCACCAGCTTGGCTCAGATTTACAGTTTATTCAGTTTACTACCATATATAAAGTTTTTTCTCTAATGGCCAGATGTGCAAGCTTAGTCTGAAATGTGAGATTCAAACTGTGTTTTTCAGCTTTCTACACTATCATTATTGTAGCTTTTTATCCCCCAATATGATACAGTAGTAGTTTGTCCTCGCTATATCTAATCTTATTTAGTTAGTCTATAATGTTAAATACAAGCAGTCAAAAAGCTTGAGGCTGAATCGATTCAATCATTGCAAGTTACTCTAAACTATGTAGATTGAATTGATAAGCAAGTGAACAGATGTTCAGTTTTGATTCCAAAAATGCAGCCACATGCCTATCATGGCTCAGGCAGAAGCCAGGGGTGCTAGAGTATGCCTCCCTGCTCTGCGGAAGCAGACAGCTTAGGCTAAGGCTAGTCCACCAGCCCTGCGAGTGCCAGTTTGCAGGGAAAGTGCAAAGCATCCTGGGATGCTGGGGGACTGTGAATTAACTTGAATCTGAAGGGAACCTGGGACAGAAGTTCAATAAACCAATTTAACCTAAATCAGTTAAGTCTGACATTACATCCATCCAGGTTCATCTTAAACTGGTTTTGGCCATTTTGAAAGTGGTTTATGTACACTGAACTTCTGTTGTGTTACTGATTTGAACCAGTTTCCAATCACTTATACTGGTTGATGTATAATTTCTGTCCCTAATCTAAAGGTGCATATCTACCCTGCCTTCTGACTGACTTCAGATTAACACAGCTAACTACCTCTCTCTGCTTACAGCAGAGAGTCATGAGCTGGGCCTATCATTTTAAATAATTTTACTAGTACAAATAAAATAAGGTTGGAATTTTTATTATGTAGTAGTCTTGAAATTATTTTGATTGTGGTTATTGGTCAGCTTTAATCTGCTATGTATTCATTTGAAACATCTACATTGAACACCTTCAAGAGCAAACTGGATGCTTATCTTGCTGGGATCCTATGACCCCAGCTGACTTCCTGCCCTTTGGGCAGGGGGCTGGACTCGATGATCTTCTGAGGTCCCTTCCAGCCCTCATGTCTATGAAATCTATGAAATCTGCTGAGCTACAAAAATATTTCAAGTTTTTAGAGAAAATTTGTAAAAACCTTCTGCTATGTTGATAGCTATTTAGGTATTGAAAAAAAAAATCTCACTGCATCCTGCTAAACAACACATTTGTTTTTCATATCAGGTTTAAATTTGTTTATATGTTTAATTGCATGCATATTACAGCACTTACCAAATAGACTAGAATGACAGACGCTTCAAAACTATTCACATTATTGTCTGTGAACAACCACATTCTGAACGTTTAAGCAGCAATGCTGACAGGCTCTCAGCGTACCAGAGCAAGAAATTTTCTGCACTATTACATTTTTAATAATGTGGTTTACTTGGTGTGAGCATAAGATTTAGATCCAATACTCCTGGGTACTTACAAGAACTGAGAGGTCGTTAGCCATGCTAATCTTAAATCAGGAAGGGCACTGTTGCACCTTTGAGACTAACTGGTTCACAGGCACAAACTTTCATAGGTAAAGGCCTACTTCATCAGATACTTTGTCATCCTGCTCTATGTAAATTAATTGAGCAAATCATTAATTAATAAAAATGATTTATTTCACAATTATGCCTGTTTTTTCTTTTCCAGGAATATTTAAAAGAGACTGTGATTATTTCAAATGTATCTGTTAGTCAAAATTATTTGACAAGTTTCATTTTTTTAAACACAGTGACTTGCTATTTAAAAGTCAAAGCACAAATTATTGTTTAAATAAGGCATATGATTCTGTTTCTGTGATTGATGGGATGTGTGTGAGCCTAACAATCAGGTTTCTGGTGTGAAAATAAATTTACAATGTGCTTTCTATAAGCATATGTGCTAATAAAACTTGATTTCAATAATATCCAGAATACATGAAGCAAATGGAGTGGGTTTATGGGAGTTCTTAATTTAATATCAGTTCTCTAAATAATATTTAACTTTAATATTGAGGGCATTTTTACACATGCCCTGGGGGTGAGGGAGGGGCACTTTAATTAGAGTGGCTCCAAGATATTCTCTAATTAAAACGCCCACAGCGTCTTATATATCAGCATCCCCATGCTTTAAAATGGTGGCAGGGGTGCTTTAACTAAAGCTCATCAAATGAGCTGAGCCCTGCCACCATTTTGAAGCGCAGGGGTACTGATACACGAGATGCAGAGGCTGGTAGGAGTGCACTAATTAGCATGCTCCAGCAGACTCAATTAATTGAGTCTGTTCCAATGTGCTGTAATTACAGCATATGGGAGCAGCCTCTCCACACATCTATAGGCACCCTTAATGATGAAATTTATGTTTTATAGAAATGTAGTAATGCCACTGTGATATTTTCCCCCTTTTCCCCTAAACAAAAAACTAGATGAGTAGCTGCACTTGGACACTGGCTCCGTCACTGGCCTTGGGTAAGTCATAACTTGAATCTCATTTTCAACATAATTAAAAGCAGGGTGTTAATATTTGCAACTACTGTATGAACTACTGAATATTTGTTAAGTGCAGATGATGCAAACTGTGTATTTTCACAGGGAAACTAGAGGAGGTTTCGGAAAGGTGAAGGACCTGACAAGAAAAAGGACATCTCTGGCAAATAGTTTGCAAAAATTCAGGTAACAACAACAACAACAACAACAAAAATCCTGTAGAAAGCATCTGGGCCAGGCATTCCAGTACTTCTTGAAAGAATAATAACAGGCAGCTCTTTGTATCTTTTACCATCTCTGGTTAGACTGTGCTCTAAAACTATCAGAGAGTAACTGGGAGGGAGTGGGACATAGAGCTGCTGGAGTCTGCAGGAGCAACCCTAGCTGAGTCAGCCAGAATCCTTCTTTGGGAACCCCAAGAAAAACACAGTGGTACAGCAGTTATACCATGCCTAGAAAACAGGATGGGATGGATCTTCAGCAGGCATAAACTGTAAATGCACACTATATTACTCCTTAGGGACAGAAAGCTTTACTGTCTTTGCTTATCCTGCCTCCCACAACATGGGAGACATGAACATTCAGATCCTCTTCCAAGCCAGGTCTCTTGTGTAAAAGTGTCCGGTTTATTAAACCACTCAGGTATTAGGATTACTTACAGATGCCTGATAGTCAGATCAAGTTACCTACAAAAAATACCAGGTTTAAAACAATAATGTTCAGTAGCATAGGCCTAGAATTATGATAATTTTAAAGTATATTACATAGCTTATGTGTAGAAAAAATATTTTCATTGTACTATTATCCTCTGTGAGAGTGTGCATGTATCTTGTTATAGTTATTGAATAATATTTATTTCACTACTCTTCTATTTCAGGATGTAAATGAACTTAGTTCTAAAAAGGGATTTATGGGACAAAGTTTACATTTTCTGTATTTCTCAATGACAGCAATTAATTTTTAGTGCACAAACAATTGTTACTTACATTAACTTCTGTTATAGCAATATCAACGACGCTACCAACAACAATTAAGGCATCAAAAGTGTTCCATGCATCAGTGAAATAGTGCTGTTAGGACAAGCATTGAGCAGAAAGAAGGCAAGAGAAAAACAGAAACAGAAAAAGAGAAGAAAAGGACAGTGTTATAACACAGAAACATTCTAGACTCATCTGATGTACCAGTAAACAGTCTTTTCCTTTCAAGTCTGAGAAAATCAGAAGTGTACATGGCTATTTATTTCCCATATCAACAGAACTGTGCTATGACTGGTCTGTATTCAAAGCTTAGAAATATCAGATCAAAATCTGTGACTTGTCCAGATGATGGAAATAGTGGGGTGACCGGGAAAGAGAAGCAGGGACTGTGGAAAGTAAGCTGGGGTATACTCACATCAGCTTCACTGAGAACGACGTCTACTATGCTGCCAATAACGATGAGGGAGTCAAACGTGTTCCAGGCATCACTAAAATAGCCCTGAACAGAGCAGGCAGGGTGCAAATGTTTGTGATTACACATGAAATGTCAAATATCTGCATACTTCTGTTTAGGTTTGCATAAACAGAAATTACTTAAACAAAATCTGTGGTCTAATGAGAAAATACAACAAAACAAACAATATTGCCTACTGAAGGAAAAGTAACATATATATACATATGTGTGTGTAGGTATATGTACATATGAAAGTATGTACATGTGTTTATATATGTATGCACACACATACAGGCACACATGCACACATATATAATACACATGCACAGTACACATCATGTAAGCACAGAAATGGGAAATGGGCCATTAATTAGAACTCTGTTTATTGATTCTCAGTGATGTTTAACAGTTCTCACATATGCATCTGAACAAATTAGTCTTTGGCATTAGAGAGAGAGGTCAATGTTGGGACCTTCTCACTGTAGTGACTTCCTAATAGTCCCTGCTAATTGACAGGCAGGATAACATTTTAAGGGTCATCTCTTAGAGTTGTGAATGTTAAATGGGCACAGAGGGCAGAAATTTTTCTTATATGGTAAACCAGGACAAAGAGCTAGGGTTTAACAACTAAGATGACTTGGCACTTAGGGCCTGACTGCACCACTGAACTCAGTGGGACTTCTGAACCTGACTTTCACAGGAACTGAAGCAGGTCCTGAAGGGTGGGGCCCCAGAGAAAAGGAATTTTTGTAAATCATTTAATTTGGCTTGCTTAGACCCTTCCTATCTTGAAATATGTCTTATACATTATTGATGCACTAATTCAACTGGTCACAATGCATTAACAAAGACTAAGCACCCATTCCATCACTGTCCTAAGGGACCTTCACACTTAATTTATGCAAAAAGAGATTTTAAAATAAATGTTGGGGTGTTTCTCAGGTAAAACTAGGCTTAGATCTGGATGCTGGTAAAAAATAACCTGATCCATTAGTTTACTCAATGTGACTCTGGAAAGGGAGATGTGTTGGTTTTTCTTTATTTAGATGTTATCTCCTTAGTGAGGCGATCCAGATGCATTGCAACAATTTAATCAGATCTAAGCATAATGAAAACTACGGGATAACCAGATGTGTTCTGTTTTCCAATCCAGATACCCTGACATATCAGCCAGTTACTGCTAATGAATCTAGAGTGGATACAAATGGGCATTTTAGAAGAAATCCTTTAAAAAACCCAGATTTCCTAATGACTTCAATAGACTAGTACTCTGGATCAATTAAAATACTAGGGAAACATCTACTTTGCCTTCACAGTACAAACACATTTGTAAAAGTATTAAATTTGGGGCATAAGTTTAAAAAAATACGTAGCAAAACTTCTAAAAGAGCAAAAGGGCTAACCTTAATTTTCTGTTTAGATACTTTTAGCATCACACTACTTACTGCAATATCTACAGCAGCAGTGGCTTTAGGCTGATATTACAGGACATGAAAATAGTAGACCACTAATCTATTTAACAGTAGAGCAAAGCAGAATTAGTGAAAAAATATCTAAAGCTGGGCAATATTTTTGATAATTTTTCCCTCAGAATTTTACATTTCCTAGTTTGTTTTTCTGCCAAGATTCTAGGTTTAGAAACTATTAGTTGTAAAGCATATGGAATTCAAAAAGCCACTTTTACGTGAACATTTGCTTTTTGCAATTTTGAAAGAGCTGCTCATAAAGGAGAAACAGTTCTATATATTGAACACTGACACCTTGGAGTTAGAAGAACTTGAGTTTTGTTTGTTTCTATTTCTCTACCATCTGTTCTTACAGCACTTTGCACATATACAACACTTTAAAAACAGTATTTATTTTTAACTGCCAACGTACCACCCTGGGAAAGGATAAAAGTAATTATAGTTTATTTTAAGTGAAGAAAAAGGTCAGTGTTTGGTCACCACTAGAGTCTTGCATTAATCAGCCCTATGATACTAGTCATCAGTTCCAGCATGGGGAAATTCATGTATTTGGCTTTTTAACCAATCAAGTCCAGTTCTCAAATTTTCTACCTAAACATTGTTTCTCCCCTGTCATGTTGTCTCCTTCCCTACCTCTTTCTAACAATAAGCCATTCTTATTCTTGCATTTTCTGTAAAACAGGATGTCAAACCAGCTTAACAGCCCTGAAATGAAGAGAATCTGTTACATGCTGGCAGGTAGCAAGTAAAACAGGGAAGCTGTCCTCAAAATATTATTTTCATTTTTTTATTTACTTGATTTCTCTTTTTTATTTTTAAAGGAAACATCTGAATTGAATGTTGCAAAACTATATATAATGAAGAACAAACTATGGACAAGCAACAGTCAGATACTCTATCAAATTTCAGTGTACTATCCCATGGGCCCCTCACAAAATGTCAATTAAGAGTATGACTATACTGGGGTGGGCAAAATGCAGCCTGTGGGCCAGATGTGGCCCTCCAGGCCATTCTATCCAGTCTGCGGGGCCCCTAAAAAATTTAGAAAATTAATATTTATCTGCCCTTGGCTGCCTGTCATGCGGCCCTCAATGGCTTGCCAAAACTCAGTAAATGGTAGGGCTGTGCGAAATGGGCCCTATTAGATTCAGATTCGGCCTGAACTGGGGACAGTGATTCAATCCGTCGATTCGGATTACTGTCCCTGATTCAATTCAGCTGAATCCAAATCTGAAGATTTGATGCTGATTCAGCGAATCAGCAATTTGGACACAGGCACAGCTTTAAAAGTTTTTCTACATACCTTGAGGTACCAGTGTGGCTTGTGATCACTGTGGTGCTGGGGCACATGGAGCATCCCACAGGAGCACGGGAGGCTTTCCAGCGTGTTTGGCAGTGAACCTGGAAGTGGACTGGAAGTAGTTCCGATCTACTTCTGGGTCTGCCGGGGAGCACGCTGGGGGGCCCCCCTGTGCCTCCCTGGCTCAGCAATAGGCCACAGGGGGACTCCAGGTGCTCCCCCCAGACCCAGGAGGCACCAGTCGCTGAGACAAGGGGGGGTGCAGCAAGGTCCCCCTGCATGCTCCCCGATGGACCAGGAAGTAGACTGGAAGTGCTTCTGGTCCATTTCTGGGTCTGCTGCTAAGCACACTGGCAAGCCCCCCGGTGGTTCTGCATCTGCAGTGTGCAGAGCCCCTGTTACCTACAGATATGTAGAAAAAACATTTAAAGCTGCATCTATGTCTGAATTGTCGAATCTGTCTGAATCTCTCTGCATCGATTCAGAGGGTTCCAAATTGATTCGGAGAGATTAAAGGGTCCCCTGATTCAATTTGTATTTGGAGATTCAGCCACCAAATCAGGCTGAATCTCTGCTGAATCAAATCAGGGACTGAAGCATCACGTAGCCCTAGTAATCGGCGCTCTGCCCAAAATAATTGCCCGCCCCCGGTTTATATGGTAGACAGCTTATGTTCTAGTTCTCTGTAGAAAAGTTAATTTCCTTTATGGAAAATATTATTTTTTTAGACATTACTGTAATGTGGCACTTTAAATATGACAGTCACATTTTAATTTCATATTGCTAAATCACCTTTAGACATTTGCTTATTTTCCCAAATCTTTTCCATCAGTACAGACAAATATTGTTCAAAGTAATTTGTAAAGCAAAAGCAAACAAAAATAAACAAAAGAAAATAAGGATGATTTTGGAAAAGGGAGGAATGGACAAGTCACAGCAAATAAACATCATGCAAAGTAGTAGTTTTGGGCACTGCAGTCATCCAAGATCAGTTCACTTACTAGCCATCTTTCCTTTTTTCTTACAAAAATCTGATGTAAAATGGCACAGAAAATCATTACAAGTTCAAGTCGTGGTTGGCTTTCATGAAGTTATGTATATGGTATATACTGACATATCACTTTAGATTTCATAGAAATATGTTGTTTTGTACTAACCATACCAAGAAAACAAATTTTGGCACTTGCAAAGAACAAAGTCTGCCCTATTAACTGAGACTGTGAAAATGTAATTCTTCAACAAATGCAGCAGAGTAAATTATAAATTCTGCAGAGTATCTAGACATACAAAATTAAACATAAAACATGTTACTTCTGGTCTATTACTTAATATTTTAGTGATTATAATAAGCTATTACATATTTAGGGATCAATCCTGAAAAATATAAATCAACAAGAGTCTAGGGTATGCTTATATATGTGCTCTGGGAGTTGGGGGGAGGGTGTACTTTAATTAAAGTGGCTCTGAGAGCCACTCTAAATAAACCACCTGGAGTGTCACATGTATCAGTGTTCCTGCACTGATAAATGGCGGTAGGGGCGCTGTAACTACAGCTTGTTAAACAAGCTTTAGTTAAAGTGCCCCCACCGTCATTTTTTAGTACAGGGGCACTGATATACATGACGCTAGTGTCTGTTGGAGCGTAGTAATTACTATGCTCCAGCAGACCCCAATTAATTGAGTCTGCTCTGATGCACTATAATTACAGCGCATTGGAGCAACCTCTCTGCACATGTACAGGTGCCCTACAGCACTGAGCTTCCGCTTTCAGGTTAGGCCCTTAATATCTCACATTTAGTACAATATTTATATATTTCAGAATAGGGAAAGCAGTCTTCAGTACCTTGGCTTTACATACCACAATATCATGGCAGGAGTATCAGTAGATTGTAATGGCATTCTTCGAATGAACATTGGAACAATTAACCGTATATTTTACAGTATTGCTCTCAGAGTATTAAGGGGACACTGTCAAGTAATTTAGGTCTAACATTTATCAATTGGTTGTTTGAATTAATTATTAATTAAGAGTGTTTACACATTACAATGATGGAATGACTATTTAATATTTTAAGCACACACGTAAATATTTTTAGAAGGCACAAAATAAACAAACTGCTTTCAGTTTCACCTGATTGAATCAAATAACGCAGTGACTGAACATGTCAGTTTGGTTTAAAACTGGCTTTTACAAATCCTAATAATACAATTTTTAGAGAAATCTATTTCTACTTATGTTTGGACTAAGAAAAGACACTTGCCCACTGCTGAAGCCTTTTAGTTCATTTACAAAAATTTAAAGCACGGTATACTGACAACAAGTGGTTGTAAAAAGGACACTTTGTAATAAAAGGTATAATCCTCAAGCAATAACAAAACCTGTATTCAAGATACATAATAGCCTGGTGCACTAATCAATCTCCAGCAAAATCCTGTCTAAATTGATGCTTCTTTCACCATAACCCACTAGTTACAAAACTTGGTCCCTTGAGCACATGTGGAAACCAAATTCTGAGTAGGGGTGCACCTATAAAGATTTTTTGGGCCCATACCAATGGCTGATTATTAGCAAGCCATATTGGCTGATACCCATCTGATTGCCAATATGCAGCTTGGCAGCTTAGAGAGCAGCATCTGGCTGGTAAGTCTCTGAGGGAAGAGGGGTGGGGGGAAGGCAGGGACATGAAGGGAGCAGATTGAGGCCCCCACTGTGAGGGAAGGAGTGGAGGTGGGGCTGGGGCAGAGGCAGGCGCTGCCCAGCAAGGGTGGGGAGGGGCGCAGGACAGAGCCACAAGTGGCTCATCTAGGGGGCAGGCATGTGCCCTCCGGATTGGTGCTGGGCGGGCTGCAGGTGCCTG